TCCGGCGGGGCGGCGGAAGTGCTGCGGCGCCCAGCAAGATGGCGCCCGGGAGGCCGCTGCGCGTGTAAGGAAGGGGCGCTCGCGGCGGCAGGACGGGGCCACGCGCGGCGCGGCGGGGCGGGCTTCTCCCCTCGGGGCCCCGGGCGGAGGCCGCCCGAGGGCCCTCCGCGGGGCGCGGCGCTGACGCGCTGCCCTTGCTTGCTTTCCCAGGCTGGCCTGCGGGGACGTGCAGGGGAAGGTGGCCGCCCTGTTCGCGCGCGTCCAGGCGGCGCAGAGGAAGAGCGGCGCGTTCGACGTAAGTGCGCCTCCGCCCGCGCCGCGCGGCGACCGAGCTGCGGGCCGCGGCCTCGCCCCGTGCCCGCGACGCCTCGCCGCCCGGCGTGCCTGCCCGCGGAGGAGGCGCCCGCGCCAGAGGTCCCCTGCGGCTGCGGGGGGGGGGCTGCCCCGCGCCGCTGGAAGAGCCGCACGGAGCCCGGGAAGGGGCCTGCCTCGGGGCGCCCGGTGGCCTGCGCGGGAGGGGCTCGTGCGGGGCCGTCGTGGGCGCGAGAGGCTCCCGTACGGCTGGCTCTCCCCTGCCAGCGGCTTCCTCTCCTCGGCCATGAGGACACCGAGGACGGACTTTTCTCAGCTCCGCAGATGCGGCGCATGTTGAGAAGCAGTGCCTGAGCTGGATGAGGGCCAGCGAAGGGAGCGTGGATCCTGACAAAACAGACGCTGGCTGGATTCTGAGTTTAGAAGTTGGAGAGTTTACCTGTTCCCGACGAGGTTGCACTCTTTTGGAACAAAGCATGTTCATAGTCTGTGGGTGGGAGTTCTTGATTCTTAGCAGGAGAAGCAAGGAGAGCCTATCAGTCCTGGTTGGTGTGTCAGCTGTGCCCATCTTGCACAGGAATAGTTGCACACACTGTAGTGTAGGCCATGCATTGGCAACCTCACAACTAGGTTCCTGCACAGTCCTTTATGCGTGACTCTCTCGAGTTCAGTTTGAAAGCTGCAGCAGATGCAGGATACGGCAGGCAGAGGGGAGGCACGTGTGCGTTATGCTGCAGTTCAAGCAACCGCACTGACTGACTGTTAGGAAGACGAGCGCCCGCTCTGTCCTTGCCCCCACCTTGTGAGGTTGCTGCTCCTCTGCTGTTCAGGAGGCACGGGCGGCCGAGTGTGTCAGGTGCCAGTGAGTGGCTCTTGCGTCATCCAGGTGTTTTCTGTGCATGTGCTGTAGAGGCACATGTTGCTGTAAAGGCTGGTTTTGCATAAATATTTTTGCATGTGTTGTACTGCTTTTTCATGCTTTTTAGTTTTTTGAAAAATGTTTAGCTATAGTTTGTAACAACAGTAAGTCTACAAATTTATTCAGTATGTCAATAATCTTTGTACCTCATATCATAAGAACATTGTTGCTTGCACTTGTATAATACGGGTAAGAATGCATTTTGCGATATAAACAAAATATGCAAACATAGCAATGATTTTTCCATTTTCCTGTATATGATACCGTGTCTATTTTTCTAGAAGTCTAGGATACAGATAACCTGGAATGCATAGAAATGTATGTTATGCATAATGTTCTGTATGAAATGACTGGCTGGAGACTGAGGTGCTCAGAATAGCTACATTCTGCATTTTTTCTTTTCTTTGCAAGCATGCAGGGATGGGCAAATGCTGCCATTCAGCGTAATTACCTACATACTAAATTGGTTTAAGCAGGTACTAGAACTCCATGTTTACTTGTTGAGACAGTTTAAACCTGAATGTTTAAATGGCCAGTGCTTTCCTGTGTTCTTACAAGCTAAACAGCTGTTTTAACGCCTAAATCACACATTTCTCCTTGGTTTCCTCCCCAGCTTCTCTTGTGTGTGGGGGACTTCTTTGGCCCTGCTCAAGATTCAGAGTGGGAGGATTACCAAACAGGTGCCAAGAAAGGTATGGAAAATCACCCGACAACAAGGACTACTGTGCTGTTACGTTTCTGGTTTATAAGCTGTCTTGAGATCTATTTCAGATAAAGACAGGATAGAACTGTTTTAAATAACTATGCCGCAGAATCCATCTGTCCATCCTGGTGGCTTAGAGTCTTGCTGGTACAGTCCCATTTCTGCAGCCTCGTGTCTTTTTCAGACAATCCTGTGCCTGGGCTTTATACCATTGAGCTGAGGCTTGCGCAGCTGCATGTTTTTCACACTGAAAACTCAATTCCTTGTTGAAAACTCACTGAGGGAAGGGCTCTAGTTTAGTCTTTTATCCTTGATCATCGGTCCTAGTTTGCACAAGCCGCTGTTTGCTCTGAAAAAGCAGCCTGTGACTCTCCTCTGTTGGGCTTGCTTCCTCCCTTTCCTGCTGCTGCTGCCGGGACATTTGTCAGCAGAGAGGAGACATTTCTGAAATTGTTGAATATATGGAGTGAGGGAGTGTCTTTTTCCTTGGGGACAATTTGAGGATGGGGAACAGTTTGTGATAAAAGTTGAAATGAATGTTTCCCTTTTCTATCAAATCTGCATTTATTTCAGTGCTTTAGCAGCATAAAAGGCATCATTTGTCACCTTTTGGCAATACAGACATTTTAATAAGCTATAAACAAGAATTCTTTGTGTGCTTACTCAGAAGTAAGGCCCAGTCTGTTTACTGGAGCTTATTCCTAGGTAAGCATATAAGTACAAATGCTTGCTGTCACATAAGCAAAATCATGACTATACCCAGCATTAGATTGAGTTGTAAGCCACTGTAGCATGGACCACCTGAGTATTTCAGGTTTTGTTGTCTGGGAGCAAGGGAAGATAGCTGCTAAAAACAGAAGCAGCCAATTTTGCAAGGAAAAAAGTGTTGTCTGTGACAGCCCCACTCAGCTGTGCTGCTGAGGACTAGCAGTATGGTTGGTTGTTGAGTTAAACCTTTTATGCTAACATCAGAAACACTTGAGTGTTTTTGCAAAATGTTTGCAGCATGCAGTGGGATTATTCTCAAGTGCTGTAAATGATCCTACATAGGAATCTTTATTTTGCATACTTTGATAAGTTATCCGCTTGTCTTGAGAAGTGTTTTATTTTTTTTCCAAATAAAGAGTATCCCAGAGATATTTTTTCAGCATACCTCCAAATGTCCAACTTGGAGGAAAAAACGAGAGAGAGAGGGTGTGTTCTCCCTTCTCCTCCGGGGTTTCATGCTTCTATTTGTCAGTGCAGCATTGACCTCACATGGCTGGTGGCCTTGTCTCCCTCAGCTCCCATACAGACCTATGTGTTGGGTGCCAACAGCAGTGAAACAGTGCGCCATTTTCCAGACGTCAGTGGATGCGAACTAGCTGAGAATATCATTTATCTGGGTAAGCTGGAAGTGGTACTTTGGTGGGTGTGCCTTGATGATGCAAACACAAAGCAAAATTGCAATTTTTCTGTGTTCTTCTCCAGAACGATACTATGAGCCTTGCAGTGTGGTATGGCTGGGTCTGCCATCTCACATGTTTCCCCAAGCTCTCTAAGGACTTCCCAGGTTCCCAGGATCCCCACACCAGAGTTGATGGCTGCTGTGTGGGGTTGGGGCTGCTGCTTGGCTCCTTGTGCTCAGCGAGAGTAACCTGTGTCTGAACCAGCAAGGGCTTAATTTTGTCTGACATGCACAAGCAACAGCTTCGTCTTCAACTGTTCCAAATGTGAAATACCAGAGATGTGAAGTGGCCAGAGATCTATTCTCTTCAGTCCTCCCTGGCTTGTGCCTGGGGCTGGGAGGAGAGCTGCCACATACTGATTCCTTAGAGGTAGGACAGAGTAGAACAAAGACCCGTGCTGTTTACCAACCTACAAAAAGAAATTGTAGGGGTAAGGGAAAGGGGGTTGGAGCAGTGTCCTGCGCAATCCACATTGTGCATTCCAGATTTGTCCTGAGAAAGGCATGATGAGTGCTTCACCTGACATGTTCTTTCAGGTGAACATCAGGTGACATCACCCAGCCCCCACCCTCCTGTACCAGCATGTGCTGTATTCACCCGGGTTCATCTTCTCTGAACACAAGGCACAGGAACTCTTGTGTAAACAAGAAAAGACTCAGTAAACCAGAAGTCTAATAGATTGGCACACCCATGTGGATCCTTCTAGCTCTGCTTTTGAGGTAGTGAACATGCTATCTAAAGTGAGCCTTGTTGGCATAGGGAACCTTGTGGTGGTCATAGGCATGTGGTCTCAGAAGGGTTTCCTCCTGATCATCCAATTCTGTTCTACCTGTGCAGGACGCAAAGGTGTGTTCAGTGGAGCCTCTGGGCTGCAGATTGCCTACCTCAGCGGGACAGAGTCTGCAGAGGAGCCAGCCCCAGCACACTGCTTCAGTGCGAACGATGTGGCTGATCTCAGGGCCTCCTTGCTGTCCACTTCGGGCTTCAAAGGTGTGGATATCTTGCTGACTTCTTCCTGGCCCAAGGCTGTGGACACCTTTGGGAACAGTCCCGTAAGTATTCCCTGCAGCATGGAAAGGGACTGTGCACTCCACACTGCACTCTGCCAGTGGACCTGCAGCGGTGGGGCTGGATGCAAATCTGGGCTCAGAATTGCACCCCAGTTGATAAAGCTGAACCAGGATGGGCAGACACAGATTCAGCCTTGGGAGTGAAAATCAGGAACAGGTAGAGAAATTCTAACGAAACGGGTACAGGCAGTCCCCAGGTTATGGATGTCTGTGTTACGGACAACCCATAATTAGAAACAAACTGCCATAAAGCCTATTCATTTAAAAAAATTATTGCAGAAATTCATCGCAGAGAGGAAGTGAAGGGGGAGGGAGGGAGGACTCCGAAGTGTGTCTTCCTGCCCCCCCATCTGGAGAGGGAAATCTCTCTGGCTCTTCCTTGCTGCAGAGAGGTGGCACGGGTGAGTTTGTGTTAGAGAGGTTCCTGTTGTCTCCACTTCATGGGGGTCCTGCACAACTAAGGCCTGTGAATGTGGAGGGCCAACTATACGTGATCCGACCTACATGCACCTTCGGCTTAAAGACAACTTTCCGTTTTCTCAGGAGCAGAGCTCATTCCTAACCCAGGGGCTGCCTGTGTGTAGTAGGTGCAAATAAGGGTCACTTTGTGGAGTGAGCAGTGAAGTGGCCACGCCTGCTGATGATGCCGAGTGATTCAGTGCGGTTAATGCCAAGAAGTAATGTGAGGCGCTCTAAACTGAACGCTGCTAACTGAGAAAATGAGCATCAAAAAAGCGGAAGCAGTTTAATGCAAGCAATGGGGAGGGGGAGGTTTAAAGCAAACTGGTGTAGAAATGACAGCCACTCGCACCGCTTACTGTGGCGTAATGCAGAACGGTGGCAGAGTCCATTGGTCAGGCTGGGAAGCCAGGCAATTGCCTCATGGGCGGTGGAGACGGCAGCAGCTGGTGATGCTGTCCTGAGTGAGGGATTTCACAGAGCACGTGGGACTGGCGCACGTCGTGCACTGGCGCTCAGTCCCTGTCCTGTTCGTAAATCCTGAGGAGATGGACAAAGTGCACGTGTCTGTTTTCAACAGGGGGACGTGGACACGCTGCAGTGCGGTTCAGGCCTCGTGTCTCTACTGGCTGCATGTCTAAAGCCCAGATACCATTTTGCGGCCCTGCAGAAGGTCTATTATGAAAGACTTCCTTACAGGTTTGTAGACTGTGTGTGACCATTTTTGTTGCCGTGCAACACCTTTCTATGGCTGGAGGGGGATTCTTTGGGCATGGCAGTGGGCTTGGGTAGCCTTGGCCCTGCACAGTTCCGCTGGAACTGGGTGCCTGTGCCAGAACGCCTTTGGCTGCCGCATCACGTTTCTGTTCGGACCCTCAGAAGGGCCACCCAAACAAGTACTTGTGAAACAGCCATGCAAAGGTGAAACCTCGTTTCTGGAATGTTTGTCGAGTTCAGCTGAAGTTCAGCAGTAGGCCTGCCAGGAGGCCGGGAACAGAGCCTGTGTGAGCTGGTAGGGGGGAAGGGCCTAAGAGGACAGTGTTCAGTAACATGCTGTAGCGGAAGTGAGGTGGGCAGGAACCCTGAGAAAGCATGATACCTGAATGCCTATCAAAGATGAGACATTTGCTGCTGCTCTGAAAACCTCAGTCAAGGTGGCGGCATGTTTGGTAAGACCGGCTCCACAGTTGCATTGGAAGGGGCCGGCGGGCTGTCGGCTCCAACCCCCTGCTCAGTGCAGGAGTCATTTCCCAGGAGTGACAAAGATAGGACTGGAGTCGCGATACTTTGAGACAGCATTGACCATGGGCAGGAATGCCTCCTTTGTGAGTCACCGGTTGAGTGTTCCAGCTGCATCCCATCACGTTTTCTTCTGAGAAACAGCAGGTTACTGAATTCCCCTGCTGGAAGGATTTAAAGATGTGACTAGCTTGAAGAAGCCGCTCTTGGGCCAGATTTTGCACTGGATCGTGTGTGGCACAAAAGGACGTTCTGCACCCATACAAAATGCCTTTTTCCATTCTCTCCTGCAGAAACCACACTGTTCTCCAGGAACCTGCACAGCATGTCAGCAGATTCATTGCCCTGGCCAATGTGGGCAATGCAGAGAAGAGGAAGGTGAGAAGCAACCTTGGCTTCTGAAGGCAATGGAGGGCACTGACCGCAAGCTCCCTGTAGCATCTTTAGCTGATCAGAGGCTGAGCAGCTGATGGAAATTGGGAAATAATGGCTGTGTTGCCGCTTTAAAGCATGTCCTTTGTTTGCTTCACACACTGTTTTGTACTGGAGGAAGCCGAGCCCCTTCCATTCCTCTGCCACTGGCTCTCGTTCTCACCTTTTGCAATGCCTTCTGGTGTAATGGTGTTTCTGCTTTGCTAAGGCCAGATTTAGTATTTTGACGTTCTGTCCTGCCCCTAGCCTCTACCCCAGGTGGTGTTCTACCCATCTCTCCTTAGTCTCATGTGCCACCATCTCCTTTTGCCAATAAGTCCCAGCTGCTCCTGCTGGCACTTTCTCTGTGAGATGCTTCTCCCCAGCTCCACCCCTGTGGTGGTGCTTGCTTGACACCTGTAGTAATATGTCTGCCGGGGTGTTGAGGGTGGCTTGCGAGGAACACCCAGTGCGGGTATTCTCACACCCAGGCAGCAGCTCCCAGGAGGACTGAAACGCTTCCTTTCTGTTGTGGTCTGTCTCCTTCAGTACCTCTATGCATTCAGCATCGTTCCAATGAGTTCCATGGCTGCTGCAGAACTGGTCAAACAACCACAGGATGTCACTGAGAACCCCTACCGCAGGCCTGGGGGTGGCGAGAGCTACGCTCACCTGCTGCCAGACACAAAGGTACTGAGCATGCTCTGTTTGGGTAATCTGTGCATTTCTGGACTCTCATGATGGACTGAATTGCTCATGAGGTGGTTTCGTGGCTGCTCTGGAGTGACCCATAGAGCTGCATCAGAACGGAGTCTTTCTATGCGTCCTGATGGTCATCATCTCTGGTGCTGATTTTTATACTGCCCGGTAGCTGAAGCTCTCCAGGCAGCTCCCAGGAACTCGCCCAGTGTTGTGGTCACTGACGGGGAGCTGTGGCTCTCCAGGGCTTTAGGCAGGGTGATTTCCTAGCCCTACCTGGAGATTCCACCTGGAAGTGAAACAGAGACCCCTGGCATGCGAAGTGGGGGCTCTCCCACGGAGCCAGCCCCCCCCCCGCCAGTCCCTCATCAGCAGTGAAAAGGCTCAGAAATTTGAAAAAGGACATCGTCACACAGCACAAGGTTATAATGTATGAAGTTTGAAGCCACACGATAAAGGGCTGGCCGTCAACTTGGATGGCTTTAAAAGAGGGTTCTGGCTGCCTGCCGTGACGGCCACTGTGGAATTGGAGGCACTCGGGCTGTGGAATTTCTGCTCTTGGTGCTGCTGGGGGCCTCAGGCTGGTCACTGAAGGGAGCCGGATGCTGGGCTGAGGAGGTCTTTGCTTTCAGATCCCATCAGCCTCTACTTGATGTTGGAAATCTTAGCCTCAGCATACATTGTTCTGCACGTGCCTGCATTGAACTGCATTTGCCCTTTTGACATCCAAGAAGAAAGTGCAAAAGCAGGATTGAAGCTGAATGTTAAGAAAACAAAAGGCATGACTATGGAAGAATTACAGGACTTTACTGTAAACAATAAAGAAATTGAAATTGTGAAAGACTCTGCAGCCGTTGGCTCAGTCATCATTTCAGATAGAGACTGTGGCCAAGAAATTTAAAAAAGCAGAGACTTAGAAGGGCAGCAATAAAGGAATTAGAAAAGATCATCAAATGTAAGGATGTTTCACTGGAGAACAAGGGGAAAAGCATTCACACCACTGTACTCCAGGTCACTCCGTATTGGTGTGAAAGCTGGACAGTGAAGAAAGCTGATAGGAAGAAAATTGAGGTATTCGAAACATGGTGCTGGAGAAGAACTTGTGAATACCTCAGAGCAACAGAAAGACAAATATGTTGATTCTGGATCAGGTCAAACCACAGCTTTCCCTAGAAGCCGAAATGACAAAATGGGTGAGGACTAGCAAGGTGGAGTTCAGTTCACACAAGGCGGAGACCCTGTTAGTGGGTGGTTCCAGTACGTGGTTGGAGGGTGTTCGCCCTGCTTTGGATGGGATTACATTCATCCTGAAGGAGCAGGTTAGCAGCATGAGAATTCTCCCTGGTCCATCTGTGTCACTCAAGGCTCAGCTGACCTCAGTGCCAGAGTACCTTCTACCGTCTTCAGCTCGTGGTCTAGCTATGCCCCTGTCTGGATGGGGATGTCTGGATTTTGTGATCTATGCTTTGGTAATTTCTGATTGGATTATTGCAGTGCACTGTATGTAGGACTGCCCTTGAAGACTGTTCAGAAGCTGTAGCTCTTGAGAAAATAATAGCTTGGACCCACAGGTCTGAACACATGAGACCTTTTCTGGCCCACTTGCTTCGCCTGCCTGTCTGCTTCTGAGCCCAATTCAAGGTGCTGGTTTCAGTCTGTGAGCTTTATGTGGCGTAGGACGCAATACCCGATGGAGTGGCTCTCCCAGCTGGAGTCCACCCAGATGTTATCGTCAACATGGGAGCCGCCTTCTTGGGGCCAATTCCAAGGGAAGTTTGGGGCACTCGCCTTGGTGGCTGCCCAGCTATGGAAAGACCCTCACGTGAAGGCCTGCAGGGCACCAGTTTGATTGTTCAGAATCGTGCTAGCACAGCCCTTTATGCCAAGGCTTTGAAGGATATACAGTGGTACCTCGGCTCACGAACTTAGATCATTTCCACGACTCTGGTCATGCCCCAAATTGGTCGTGAACCAAGTCAAATTTCCCCATAAGGTTCAATGTAAATAAGGTTAATCTGTTCTATAACTTTTTTTTTTTTACTCACAAAAATTTGAAGCAAAGATCATGCCCCCCCCCCAGCGATCATGCAGATGATCGCTGGGGGGCAGATGGCCACAATCATGCTCAGGGGTAGGGGGAGACGGGCAAAATTGCGGGCGTGCTGTGGGGGAGACTGGCGTGATTGCGGGCACACTCGGGGGAGACGGGTGCGATCGCAGGCGTGTTGGGTGAGAGACTGACACGATCACAGTCGCGCTCGTGCGGGGAAGACGGGCACAATCGTGATTGTCACCCAGTGCAGAGTTTGCAACCTGTGGCAAAATTTTTCTGAAATGTCTGTTCACGGCCCGATTTGGTTGTGAGCTGAGGCGTTTGTGAGCTGAAGTGCCGCTGTACTTGGCTATCCAAGGGCTCGAGGAGACTCCTCATTTCTTTTTTAGCTTATTTAATTTTTTGTTTAAAATGCTTGTATTTTAATAGTTTTATGGCATTTTATTATATCTTTTCATGGTGTTTTTATGAACCGTTGTAAATGGCTCAGGAAGACTTGGCTATTGGGTGGTATAGAAGTAGAAATGAAAAAAAGGATCGTCATGCTCCCCGTTTCCACCTCCATCTTGTCACAGAGCAAGCGGGCATTGCTAGGCCACGGATGCGTTGCAGCCCTTCCCACAGCCCACGGGTGGCCACGTGCTCCTCTGTGGTGTCCCAGCTTCCAGCTGCAAGTTCAGAGCCAGGGAAGCACAAGATCATGGTGTGCCATGGGTCTCCCCAGCTGGGCAAATACTCCCAAGGCGGCGATGGGACACTGCATGGTCAGGCGCCTTGGAATCAAGACAGTTGGGCAGCAATTTGGAATGGATTACCTAAAAATACGGCCCCTCATTTTTCCTTTATCAAAGCAAAGGAAAATGGGACAGGTGGGCGAACGGGGAGGCAGCAGAACACTCACCCCAGAACTCGTGCTTCTTCCGCCAACCAGCCCAGAATGCTGCTGCGCGAGTCCTTGCTGCCTTGGCCTGACGTGTGTGCTCCCCACCCGCTGCTCACCTCAGTGGCACCTTCCAGCCGCTTTGGAAAAGGAGCCACACGCAGTGTTGGGAAGATGCTGCTTAGTATCTCCAAGGGAAATGCTTTGTCCTTGAATTCAGGAGATGGGCCTTAAAGCAGCCCTGCTTTGCTGTTCGATTTTGTTTCCTCAGAAGGATTCTCCTTGCCAGTTTTTCTTTGACCTGAGCAGCAGGCCAACGGGGCGGAAGCGGCCTGTTGAAGGGGGGCGTGAGGGGCAGCAGTCAAAGCGGCCACCTGGGAAGGCCCGTGAGTACCACATTCCCCTCTTAAGTGCCAAGCAAGCTGGCTGGCCGCAGAGGCACAGCGCCTGAACCACGTGGGGGGGGGAGTGCGTGCTGTTCACATTTGAGTTAGGGAGTGGGCCCATTTCCACAAACATTTCGGGGGACAAGTGGCCTTGCTGGGGTCCAGGCAGAGTCGAGCAACTTACAGAGAGTGTAGGAGGAGCTCCTTCTCCCCTCCCTTGTGTCTTAACGGGGGGCTTCACCTTCCTTGATGGTTCTGTGCAGCCCCAGATTAAGACCGCTGAATATGCAGGTCAGCACTCACGGGCAGCTGTGGCAGGCGGGGTAAGGGCGGGGAGGAGGCTGGAGAGCCGGTCTCTCTGAGACCACCAGGACCCCCAACCTCCCCTCCTGTGGACAGAGGCCCCGTAGAGCTCTGGTGATGTCACTGCTCTATCCATGATGTGTGTTTGTATCCCTTCCAATCGCCAAGCCCTGCCAACAGCTGCATGCTGGTTTTGCCTGGCTAGCCCGGAGGTCGAGAAGCATCTGGTGGTGAGCATCGGCACACACGTGAGTCTCTCTTTCCGCCCACGGCCTGAAGAGGAGCAGGTGGGGGCCTGGTGATCCAGAAAGCGCTTTCACAGTGGCTCTTTCTGAGGCTTGCTGGCTGTCCCTTTCGGCTTTCAGGGTTGGGGTCTGTGCCCTGGGGAGAGCGAGGAACACAGGATATTGTAGCACTGTGGAGAGCAGCCTGGTGCCTTCCAGCCGTTTGGGACTGTGACTTCTGCAAACCCTGATCCACTGGCCTTGCTGAATGGGGCCAATGGGAATTATAGTCCCAATACATCTGGAGGGCACCAAATTGCCTGCCCCGTTGAAAGATTGCTGAATCTAAGATGGCATGGCCTTGGTTGGTAGGCTGGAAAGGGAACCATGGGGCACTCCGGAGGTGGCACTGCACCCTCTTTCTGTATATAGTGATTTTGGTGGTTAGACGCAGGCCCCATCTGCTCTTTCTTGGCATTCCTTGGTTGTCTTGGGTCACAGCCTGGCCTCTCCTCGCTGGAACCAGGGAGGGGAGAGCTGTGCCTGTTCTCTGGCACGCCTCCTGGTTTAATAACAAGGGTCACCTACCACAGTTCTCCCTCTCCTGGTCAGCTGCTTCGTAGCATTTGGTGGCTGTCCAGGTTGAGATGTGACAGCATCCAGACCTGGTTTTGGCTTCAGCATTGTTGTTGTGGGAGTGTGGCTACTTTCAGTTGCTGTTGGAGGTGGGACTGTTGAGGGTGGGGGCTGTGTGCCGAGCCTTATTACCGTTTGCCTGTGTCTTTGTTGTAGTGCTACCTTGCTCTGGCTAAGGGGGGGTTATCCCCTGATCATGTCCTGATTTTGCCGATTGGCCATTATCAGTCAATGGTTGAGCTTGCTTCCGAGGTAGTAGATGAAGTCGATCAGTACAAGTCAGCTCTGAAGAAGTTCTTCAAGACCAAAGGGAAGAGATGTGTGGCCTACGAGCGGAACTACAGGAGTCAGCATCTTCAGCTTCAGGTGAGGCAGCAGTCACCTGGCCAGGCCGGGAACATCATTCTTCACCTTGACCGAGATATCCCTGGACAGAACTGCTGTGGCTTGAAGGGCTCGGGCAGCCCTCAGAGCCTCCTGGGCACAAAAAGTAGCAGCCTGCCCTGCTTTCAGGCCACACGGCTCTGCTTCCGGTGATGCTCTGGGTAATTGTGGCGGTTCCTGTCTGGCTGACCAGAGACAAGTGTCTGAGCGGCATCTGGCTGCCACAGAGAGTGTGAAGGAAACTAGAGACCCGAGGACTCCTGGAGAAAAGAGAGTCCTCAGTCTCTCACTTCCCACAGGAAGGTTTCATAAGTTTAAGTCTGAGAGAGGCATTTGCTCCACTCCATGACGAAATGCTTTGCTGAGGGGAGCCCTGCAGGGCCCCCTGTGATGGGCGTCCCCTCTGGCACTTAATTTTACTCCCTGGATGTCCTAAGGTGACTCCTTTATTCCATGCACATGACACTCTGCTAGGTGGTTCCTGTTCCCCACGATTGCGGCACGACAGAGGATATCAAGCAGGCCTTTGTCACTCAAGCAGAGGAGCGTCGTATCGAGCTGCTAGAGATCCCGGAGCACTCAGTTCTCAAGCAAGTAGGCTGTGAGCTATTTTCATTCCAGTGTGTTCAGGGGTTGCGTCAAAGGGTCCTGAAAGGGTAGGAGTGGATCCCCCCATGCCCCTTGTGCTTGGCTCTCCTTGTGGCAGCTGGCAGGCTGCGGAGAAGGGGCATGCCTCTGTTTTGGGCAAAGCCCAAATCCATGCCTGTGGCATGCGGTGGCACAAGGGGAGGACCTCTTGGCTGACCACAGAGTACTCTCAAGGAAGTCACTGCAGCCAGCATCCCCTGGCAGGGCAGGGCAGGGCAGGGCCTGAGGAGAGGCAGGCTGGTCCAGCTGTCTCACTTGGAAGACGGGGCACTGTGAGTTCTTTCCCGCGAAGCTGCAGCCCTCCACCATTCCTGGGGCTGGGTCCCTTCTGCCTGGGGGCTGGGGCCACTGTCTTGCGGGTAAAGGGCTGCTGGGCCAGCCACTGTGTGGACAGATTTCTGGGTTGAGTATACTGATCATACTCGGAACAGACTTTCAGGAGTATAAGTACCTGCGGAGATTGTACTTTTTGAAGCTTTCGTTGCAGCTGCTGCAATTCCACACCCTGAAAAGCTGAGTCAGCTGATACACCCCTTGCCGGGTGGAAGGTGCAGCACAGTTCCCAGGTCCTTGCACCCAGAGCTGCTTGATTTGTGCTCTGATCTGGGAGCAGGAGGCCCTTGGTCTGTCAGATTCTCCATCACTTTTCCTGCATGGGTGGGCAGCTTCCAGCCTGCAGAGGCCACCCGCCTGACCCCTAGAGGCTTGGGTTCATTTTCATCCCCACCTGTTCCTTTCTGCCAGTCATGCCCCTGGAGTGAGGGCTCGCAAGGCTTGCAGAGGAATCCCCTTGTTTCCTCTGATACATGAGCAGAGATGGCAAGTGGGCGCTCTCGGGAGCAGCCGCTGCACACGCATTCCAGCCGGGTCAGCTTCACCTGCCCTATAGCCTTTCCACAGCAGGAGCACGTGAAGCGGGGTGGAACCCCATCGCCAGTGCTCCGGGAAGGTGACAGGGCCAGTATATTGGTCAAGGAGGTTTTGGGGCAAGCAGGCCCGCCCAGGTTGTTCAGGGGAGTGGGTGTAGCTCCTCCACCTGATGTTGCGGGTTGTCTAGCCCATGTGATGACCATAGTGCTGAGCATGCGGTGTGTTTGTTGCCTTCTAGCACTCTGGTGTGACATTACGCCTTTGGAAGTGCACAAAGAGAACTTCAGCTATTGGGCAGCATAAAAATGCAATGAATAGACCAAGTCCTTTCTCTTTTCCCCTGTGATGTGGGGTGGGAAAGCACGAGCAGAGTTTCGTGGCAGCCCAGAATGCTTCTTTGCAGCATTCTGGGGTTGCAGAGAGAGGCAACATTTGCATGTTCTGTGTAACTTTCACCCGCTGTTATCTTGTGTGTAGTCAAATGCTTCCATGCAGAAATGGATCTTGCAATTGTGTTCTTTCAGATAGTTCAGCCAGGAACGCCATATTTTTATGTGGAGCTGGATAATGGAGAGAAGCTCTTCCATCGTGTTGGGAAAAATTTTCCCCTGCAGTTTGGGAGGTTCGTAAGTTTCAGTTATCCTGGAGATCCTCCTCTCTTGCTCATGGAAGGCCTGAAAAGGGGCCAGAGAGAGCATGGCTGGGTCTGGCTGAGTTGGTGCCTGCCGTGGTCTCCCTTCCTGGCTGCCACCTGGAGTGCCAGTGCCCATCCTCACCCTGGGTGTTCCCAGCCACCTAATCATTGGAAGTAGCTATGGGAGCTGGATGGATAGCCAGCCGGAGTGTTGGAGACTGAGCCAGGGAGGGAGGAGGGACCATGTTGCTAGGGTTCCCCTTCTGGTCCACAGGGAGGTCCTGGCCAGCGAGGCCATCCTGGGCATGCCTGGCCGAGCCGACTGGAGAAACTGCCAAGCTGAGCGAGAGGAGGAAACTGCAGCAGCCCATGCCTTCCGCCAAGCCTTCGAGCCCTTTGACTTCACCCAGATGGACTGAACGCCTGAAGGAGAGCAAATGGAAACCTGTCGGTCCATCCCTTGCCATTCCTGTGAAGAATCCCTCCCCTGCAAGGTGTCTCGTTCAGTCCTTGGCAAGTTAGCAGCAGGATCCAGGTCGCAGGAAGAAATAGGCTGCTCTCTTTCCAGCCCTGCCTTTCTCTGCTGTTCACTCCCCAGCTGAGGGATGTTACCCACTTGGCACTCTGCTTCTGTGGGTTGGCCCCAGCAGAGGGAGAAGCACAGATCTGCTGCTCTCCCGCCGGTGAACATCACGAGGACCTGTGCGGGGGCTGAGCGTATGAGCCAGCAATGCCGTTCTGTTGCAGGAGTGTGAGGGGCATGAGGGAGCACTTCAGCCCTTGTATGCAGCAGATGGACTCGGTGCGTATCGCATGTCTCGGCACCCCAAATTCTGCCTTCTTTGGAGCATGAACTCTCTCTCATGCAGGCGCATGCACAAAAACACACAAGCAAAAGAACGTCGCTCTGCCAGCTGTCTGTTGGAAGGCGGTGTGCCTTGGTGGGACGCCGCTTATGTGCTGGCAGAGATGGCATGCGTCAGCAAGCAGATTCAGCCTGCGGTGCAGAGGAGTCCCTGCTGTGTCCTGCTAAGGAGACCCAGCATTGCAGTGGCTGCAGCCAAACGGGACAAGGAGCATTTGGCCCACAAAGGAAGCCGCGGGGCTCTGCTGGAGGGGGCACGTAGGGCAGCGAGGCACAAGGCCAAGGCTGAGCAAGGGTTCTGAGGGGACACAAGCCAGTTGGAGTGGGCAAGTGGGGTGTCGAGCTGTTTCGGTTTTTCAGGTTATTTGGTTTGGGCTTAGTTTTCGGGCAAGATTGGACTTCAGGGCTAAATGCTGTATCAGAGAGTGGTTTTAGATTTATAAAACTTTGAACCCATGTTTAGATATTTTGAGCGTTGTTCAAAAAGCATTTTGATAAATAAATATTTTTTTAAAAGGGCAGAACTTTTCCCATCTGGTCACAGACTTCCTGGCTCAAGCTCTGCAAAGTCAAAACGCAATTCCCTGTATTTGGAAATAGGTCACCTTTAAAAAAGCTGAGTTGGATGGTGAAAATTGGTGTCCTGCAATAGCAGGGGGTAGGACCTGATGCCCTCCTTGGCCATTTTCAATTCTACTATTTTTTGATTCTATGATTCTATTAAATGCACCTTCGGGGCCACAGTAAGGGTTGGGGTTAATGTTAGGTTGATTTTTTTTAATTTTAAAAAATTAATTTGAATTTTGGAAAAATAGTAAATTTTAAAACATTCTACAGACAAAAATTTACAGAAAAAAATCTACGGAAATAACTTAAAACAATTTAGCATAATCAGATAGTCGGTACTATTACACTCGAACTTCCTAAATTATCTCCAACATTCTGCAGAGATCTCCTTGATGTGTTTATGTTACAGTTAGAGTTAGGGGGGGTTTTTTAGGTTTTCTGTATTTTTATTAAAATCATTCTACTTAAGAATAACTACACCCAAACGCAAAAGGCCATGACAAACAGAATTTACTCTTTTATCTTACTAAGACACTTTGTCTCTTTACTAACTTAAACCTAATACATATATACATCTATCACTAAAGTTTAATAACCTTCCATATTTACAATTTTAACACTGTTTTTATTTGTATCTAGTTACCTCTTTATATATCAAACACTTTTATGTAATGACTGGAGTGCTGTTGGCCATCCATGGCCAGAATTTCTTCCACTTTGCCACTGGAAGCCTTCCTTTTTCCACCTCACTCAGAGTTTTTACCCTGCCCAAGGTGAACTTGATTGCCCTTTGCAAGTTAGAAGGTGCTTGCAGCTTGCTTTCCTCCTGCCTCTGAATGATCAGGGACAGGATCACAGTCAAATTTATCAATCTGATGGTACTCCAGGGTGTCAGCCAATGCTGCCTTTCATTAACAAAAGTCCCTTCCCTATTCCCTTTCCTTCGCACTGGTTTTCCTGGTCCTCTGATGCCGCCTCCTGGTTCAGTGCCCGAAACGATGCTCTCCCCCTACTGCTCCTTCAGCTCCGGCCAGTCCATTTTTCTCGCCAGTTCGGCCCAAGTGTCTCTGGCTCCCAGAAACAGCTTTAGAAAGTGTTCATAAGTCTCTCTTTCAGGGGCCTCTCCTGTCAGCATCTGCTTTTCACAGTCTGCCCTTGGACATAGCGGCCTTTCTACAGGTACCCAAGGCACTGATACCTTCAACTTGTAAATTTGGTGATAAAAACGCCAACGGATGTCCCGCAGTACCATCAGCTGCAAGGTTCTTTCCTTTTCTCTGGGAACCGACTACTTTCCAGCTCTGATCTTCGTGTTGAGCGTCCGTCTTCACTGA